AGATGATCATTGGATAATACATATTAGTATGTAAAGCCTATATGCCGGTCGAGCGACCTCGCTGTCTCTAAGTTTTCGTTGGAGTGACGTATGAAGCGCATCATATAATCTCATGTCGCAAGTAGTACTTTCGCAGCAATCTCGATGACGCAGTAATGACGTCGGTTATCGCAATTTTACCTCAGCGTACGGTAACGCACGGTAAGCGACTGAGCGCGAAGGGATTCCCCAAACGATCTGTAACCATAACTTTCTGTTTGGTCTTTTTACCGTCAAGCACGCCTTTACGTGCAGCCTGGAAAAACCAGAAGTAAGAACTTAATACTATTACTTACTTCTTGATAGCAACACTGATTTTTGACTCAAACCAAGTCACATTAAGTTAAAGGTTACGCACATAATAAAAATAAAAACGAACGCATTCATAATTATATACTTCCGTTTTTTTAAGTACCTGCCTGTTAAATTTGCAACTTTAATTTGGCGAACGATCACGTAGGCATTGTTGAAATCAGTGACTTGTGATATAATGAGGTACAATGATGGCCAAACTACACGATTTTAAGAACATTGAACCGAGACCATATAAAGCCATGTCAACGTTCTGACGAATGCATTACGTTGTAAATGTAGAAAACTGTGAAAGAACATGTTTATTGTAGATCCAGCTTAACATAAATTACAGTAGTTTAGACCTACTTTAATTTTATTAGAAGATTTGAATAGATTAGAACTAGAGTGGTCTAAAGCTTAAAATCTCTATCACTGCATCAATAAATAAATAGTTAACTTACTTTGTAATTCAAATAGCATTGTTTTACAAAGATTTTCATCTGTAGATACCCGCCGAAAAATGAAAGCGGAAATGATAAAAAAAACCCTGAGTTGTCTATTTATGTTAAGTGCTAAACTACTTAGTCTCGATGTCGCTACCGCAAAAAAGAAAGGTAAACCGAAGTAAATATTTACTTTTGTAAATAATGACCACATTGACCTTGAATTAAAAATAAATCTAGACGCATTTACTAAAATACGACACCTGCACAAAACACAGGCCTACGTAAAGAAAATCAGTGTTAATTTTTTTATGGTTAATTAATAGTTCGCCGATTAATCACATTAATCCTATGAATAAATAATAAAAGCAAAATATTCACGTGAGGAAACAAAAAAGAACCGACCGAAACTCGTCATAAAATCCGACCAAGTAAACAAATTAGCATTTTAAACTATTGCACATACACTACAGAGTCTATTATCATAATGGGGGATTATTCATATGCTGCCCTAATTAATCGATTCTAGCGTCACAACACAGACATCGGAATAACCGAATCGATTTTCGAAAAAATTATCGTAACAACTTATTAGAATTACTGGTATCCGGTGCGGCCTTCTAATTATAATATTCGAGTTGATGTGACGTAAACGCATGTTTTGGCATTGATCGACGTCGCATAAAGTGTGTTACTCACATAATGGTGTTTATAGAATAACGTGGTTTTTGTGATTTACCCTGAGATGACTGTCATTAGCTCCGTCGACACCTCGACTTTGTGCTCATTGTGCATGCATTAATTAGTTCGATATTTTGCTCCCAATCGTATGCTGTACAAGTATGATCCAAGCGTTTCACATCACCAAAGGCCTCTTTTCACACGGAGAAGGTTTGAACATTAAAAACCACGCTATATAACTAGGAAAAGTCACATTGGTACTTGCCGTTTGTAGGTTGCGAACCTACTAACGCACACTCATGCATAAGAAGCGGGCGTCTTAATAAACCTCCGGGCCACCACGACGTATGCAAACGTTTACATAATCACAATATTTATATTTTGGATGAGAAGTGTATTTATGAACCTGATTGATGGACCTTATTACCACAAACCAAATTCGTACTGTAAATGCAGAAGTAACTTGGTCTTGATTATGGTACCTATAGGTATGAAGCTTTATAGGTATGTTCAGTTGTTGTTGTGTGTTTAGAGACTACTTTTGTATGAACAAATGTTGTGGATTTTTCGTAGTGATAGATTTTTTTAAGGGGGGAAAATCATAGAATGTCTTCTCTCGCCTAGGTGAGGCGGGAGGGAAGGTCAGACTCTTAGTGACTAAAAACCACCCCGTTCCTACTCCTGCACTTCGAGCCGGAGCCCCGGTAACCCGTTAGGTTCTCCGCGGATTAAGAAGTTAAGAACGATACTTATCAGAATTTTTTTATCAAAAGGTTATGTCTGTGGTATAATTATTATTTACCGAAGCCGCATTAAAATTAAGTAGTATTATTATGCTAAGTTTATCCCTATTATCATTAACTTTATGAATGAAACTTAATAACAATTAATAAAGGATAACATTATCTACATTAAGTTTTTATAACAAATGTTCATTCATTGTCTTTTGACGATGAAAATAATTTATAGTGGACAATAAAGTAACGTTTATTAAAATAATGGTTTTCTTTGAATTAAACCCTAATGCAATATAGCTGTCAATTGTTCTATTATTTATTAATCTTTACGGCAGTTTTTGCAATCTTTATTTAGTTGGCCCTAATGTTATAAACTGCATTAGTAACTGAAATAGGACAAGGACACCTTTTTAGAGTGCTTTACGACTTTTAAGGTTCATCATAACTATTCCGTTTAAGGAACACACTACCTACCTCTTTTATTTTTTTTCTAACTATTTTTTTAAATGTATGTATGTAACCCAAATGCATAATACATAGCTTTTGGATTTAAAAAACACGGGAAAAATTATTTCAATAAAACTTAATTTCATAGAGACGGGATACCAGGCGAGATGGTAGCCAAACATCTACGTATGAAATATATAAAAATAGACACCATAATATTTATTTTAATATCCATAAATAAATGAAAGTATTTATTTCTATCTACATTATTTCACGTCCAATAAAAGATTGAGTTGAAATAGTAATAGATTTATGTACATTAAACATAAATTGTTTGTATGATATATACATTACGATGGATTATAAATATTATGCGATTATGCGATTATTTTACTTACTCGGTATTTAACTGTGTTAGCAGTAAAACGGACAGTTTTCCAAGTTGTTACAACTCATAATACTTGCTACTTTATAATGGTCCACGATTGAAACTCGAAACTCATCAGACACGTTAGCAACTACTTGATTATCATTGCAATCTATACAGTGTCAACGTAATGCTTCCGAAAAACGCTGACAAGAGTATTTTTTACAATTGTAATCATATTTGTTTATATTACAGCCTTGACCTGTTGATTGCATACTATTATTACATAAAACAAACATTTCATTCCTCACTTTTATGAAAATAAATCTTCTTTTTTAACCGACTTCAAAAAAGGAGGAGGTTCTCAATTCGACCGTATTTATGCTTTTTTTACCATCACCTGTCGGCTTTTCGGGAGCATTTAATTTACATCCTGTATAAACAATTTCATTTACAATTACTATTCCTTAATATTAACTTATCTTTGGAATTGGCATAATCGATCTATTTTAATTATCTAAATATTAAACATAGAACGTTAATCAAATATATTAAAAAGGTAACAACACAATAATAAACGGCATTCATCATAATTATTTGTTTACACGATCATTAATACTCTATAATCAATATTAATTAATAAAAATATAAAAAAAATTAACAAACAATGATCTTTAACTCACAATTTAAACCATATAACTTGATCTTATGAATGATCTAGGGGTATTACAAACAAATATAACTTATCAAAACCTAATTAAGTAATTTGGGAATTAAACTACTATAAAAACAAAACGACCTATTTTTTTTTATTTGTAAATACGGGCCACGTGGTATTAAAATAAACATCTATTAAAAGACAATTTCATCTTGTAATAGTATGATAACAAAACCACACACTGTTATACGAAAATATTATCAGTAAGGTAATATTTTGAGTGCATTTTAGTTCACGTCTATTTTGCTAGTGGTCAGCAGTGATGCGGTAGTGGTATGTAAAATCTTCATTTATTTTTCATAAATTATTGTAATAAAATAAAAAGAATTGTTGTTATAAAATAAAAAGGGTATGTCGGTACGTCGCGACCGGTTGTAGGTAATTCCTGTGGAAGCGATGGGTTCGTAACACTGGGCCTACGGCGCTACGCGTCACGGGTAAAACCTACCATTGAGGGCGCTTCCAGGAATCTCTTGAGTAACTACCGCAAACTCGTTTCTTATTGTTATTTACACATTTCGTCTTAGTTTTTTTTTGTTTTGTCAATTTTATGCCCTTAACTAAAAGTAAATTTTGTCATTGTCAATACTAAATCAAAAAAAATATATGTTTCATGTTTTATTAAATTCATTATTCAATTTATTATTTTTTATACGTATTAATCCCTCAAAATCAATATAATAATTTAAGTAGGTACAACTAAAACAATAACTCCACAACGGAATCAATTCAATTATAAGTATTTAATCAAATTCTGTTTTCCTCATGTATAATGTCACAATTATTTATTTTATAATTGCCTTAGTTTACTTCCGAGTTTAATAAGGCCATTTCCGAACCAGGATCTAAATTAGGATCTGGCGGAATATGAAAAGATGTTTGGGGAATATGGAGCTGTAGGTGTATGGTGGGTAGACGCAGCTGATGATGCAGGCTCAGGACCGGGGGATGCCGGCGGCAAACGTCAGGAGGCACGGGGGCCTCGAGCGGCGCGCGGGGCGAGGATAATGACGCATGCGCGACGAAAGGCGCTGCGGGGTGGGAGGCGCGCGCCTAACACTATTTAAACTGTTCTTACGAACGGTCATCATGCATTGGTCTGTTTGCAATCCAAAGTTTAGTTAGCTATAGTAATACGACAGCTCGAGTCGCAGACAGACAGGCACAAAGCCCGTGGTCGAGACAAAAAAGCTCTCGCAGACAATACGCTAGCTAATCGCGCAGTGAACCTTCGTTCAGGCCCTTCAAATACCAGTGGTGTGTCGTGAGAAGCCATGGCCGTCGCAGCTGCTCAGAAGAACCGCGAAATGTTCGCCATCAAGAAGTCATACAGCATCGAGGTGAGGAGCTCGCCTGCAGCAGCAGGGCCCGGCCCGCTCACTGCAACGCGTTGCCAGCTCGTTTACTACTTCCATTCATCCCACACATTGCCACCGCTTTACTACCCACAACTTCAAACAAATATTATTCCCGCTTTCATACAAAAAAAAGATTCTCCAATTTGTTTACAAAACTATCTTTTCACAATAGTTAATTTTGCAAACCTAATAAATATTTCGTTCAATAAATAAACACTCGAAATATTTAAAAGTTTAATTAAATAAAGGATTTAAAAAGCAATAGTAATAAAGTTTGTAAAGTGATGATTATTATAATTTTAATATCAGTGTCACATCAGTAATTTAATAGACATTTATGTTTATTAGAAATAATATTGTGATGTCCTAAAAACCAAATTTAATTAACTATGGACCCTGACAGCCGCCAAGATAATTGTAATAAAAACGCATCGTGAAGCCATTCCTGTAGAATTAATTTACTAGTTATTTAAACTTAAACAAAGAAACTAGTACCTTTACAGTGTACTTGAACCAACTTGTAGTAAGTACAATGTAAGTAAAGTTTTGTTTACGAAAGTGATGAAATGTTTTATCGTGTAACTTTAACGTGATCCATTCAAAGAAACATAAAACTAAATCAATCGCATGTATTAATTACCCATCAATCTCCTGTCGAGAATTAGATGATAATCAGTCTGTCATCAGTTACTGACATGTCAAATTTGCCCTTGTGCCACTCTGTAACAATGAACGTCAACAATGTTTACTGAACGATGCAATTTTCTAATCATTTACATAAAATACGTCTAAAAACAACAAAAATGTTTTCTGTAGATCTCGTAACAATATGTGTGTGTATATGTGAGAAAGTGAAGTGTGTAAAATAAATTAGGCCGTTTAATTACAATAAATAGTGTATTTAAAATTCCTCCATAACAATTGCCATAAAACTTGAGAGTTCGGTCTCATTACGCGATGTAGACAGGGTCTGTACCACATAATTATAGTGGCCTGTAATTATAACACTGTTTATATGACAAAGACACTTTCTCGGCGAAATCGCTGAGTCGTGTGACAAATACGCAATATTCACAACAATATGTTCTAAATAAGTCATTGTTCCACATAAGACGCGTGTCTAAGACCCCTACAGAACTTACCTACTACAATAAAAACAACAAATCTTATCAATCTCTTCATTGTTTATTAGGAGATTAATTAGCATTGTGAATATTCAACACGTCGTCACGTCGCATCGTAACCGTTACCTCACGTAAGCAACTTTGTGTTAAATAATCACCTGTTGATTGTTTACTTTTGAATAATATTTTCATCGTACTCTTCGACTGATGGTGGAGGTGACATCTAAAGCTCGTGCGAAGTTTTTCTGCGAATTATGTCAGAGTTTGTATGCAACAAGTGATATTTGTGACCCACATAAAATCTATAAAACATAAAACGCGTACATTTTCTGAATTGCATTGCGATCAAATCAATATTTCTTCTTCTTGTTTAAATTTGCTGTGCGACGAATAAGTAGGTCTGTACGTGTCCATCATGCTATGATTATATTATTATTGCTTATTTTATTATTGGCACCTGAATGATTGTATTTCCTTGACCGTCGAAGGTCGGAATGCAAGGCGGTGCGACGCTCACCGTCTCCGCTATAGTCAGCAAAGATCGTTAAAATTCTATCATGTGACACAATGGGCACAATTAACTTGTCACAATATCATTGAATGTACAAAAATCGAAGCTGAACAACAAAATGAAAATATGACCGGCTCGATTTTTTCTTGCACGGTTGCACTTGATTCACAATTAATTAGACATCGTCACGCAAAGTGCAAAACCTAGGAGCTCGATATACAATAGTATCGAGGTCATTCAGGTACGCCCTTGACCAATGCAACTTACTTAGTGCAATCTGATGAATTGTTAGTATAAATTAATTGAAACGATTACTTAAATACATTATATTAAAACAAACTTAAATTTCCTTGTTGATGAACTGTGCAGACTATTCACAATGCTAACGTATCACTGTAGTTTAACACATCGTGACTCCAAGATCAAATTGAAGGTAGACATAATTATTCTTCTCGACGGTCGTGCATGCCGAAACAATAAAATGCTTAGATTAATGTTCTGCAACGTCAAATTGATTAAGTGGTCGTAGATATGGCCGAGTACGTCGGAGGGTGGATACAGGTCGACGGGCGGCACACTCTGGCTTGGCTTAATTACCCGCCGACCGATTGGAATGGTGAAGTGGCCACTCGGGCACACCAAGGCTAAAACAACCGGATTCCGAGTCCTGTCCGCTCCAGTTAGGCGGACCTTTAAATTCACAATACAGCGCGCGACACCGTTTCCGCAGTCTTGTAACGCTCGCCAGTAGTTGCGAGGACTCTGTTAGTTACTCTCACAAGAAAAAGTCCGGAAAAACTCCTTTAGGTCGCATAATTACCAACTTCGTTGCATTTCAGGGGCTCGGTAACAATAGTGAGTGATTAGCGCAACCCTTGACATACATAGTTAGGCCCGCACGGCCACTCTAGTGGAAAATGCTAGGTCTCGACGCCCGCGCACTCGGCCAGCATCACGTCAACGCCGCTCCTTAGCGACGCGGCGGAAATTACATTGTCATCAGCAGGACATACCAGCTGCACTAAAGAAAACAATATTCAAACCGAACAGTCCACAAACATTTCTAATGTTCGAGTTCATTCAGTGAAAGAATCGTAGATGTATGTATTTAATGTTGAATTGAACAGAATACCTATGAACTAGCGCAACTATACAGAAAATAGTTTAAATCAATTTATGAAAGTGTCAAGTAATTAAGTGCCACGCTTTGTTTCGAGACAGCGCTAAGTAAAGACATGAACGAGCGTCGTCGCATTGTCACTACAATAAAGTCGTGTAGTCACAACTCTCGAACTGTATAATTGGCTCCATTTGAGCGCAGTGGACCAGAAAGTCGCGTTCCTTTGAAAGATTTCAGTCGCACGACTTCGCATCCGGAGCAAGGCGCAAGGCGGGTATAATGGGAGCACTTTACACCCGGCCACACTCAGGAAATAAGCTTACGAACTTCGTAAAAGCAATTCCTACTCTCACATGAAATATAATGCGATGTGACCGCTTTATATTTATAAGGATTTAGAAGATCAAACTGTTTTAGAGACGACTCCTTTGTGCTCGCTCGCTCGACTGAAGACGTTTTCTCTCCCACGCATTAGGATTTTCATTTTATGATTGTAGTGCGGTCAGATCTTATGATAATATAACTTCAATAATAAGTGTAACAAGTTATAAATAGAATCAATTAAAATCTATTCAATCTATCAATTTATGAACTACAAAACCGACGATGATTACATAACGTGAAGACATTAACAAAATACAATTTTTGTTCAGTAACACAGCTGACTATGAGTATTATCTCGACATAATAAATAAAAAAAATTATTCAAGTTATGTACATTTCACGCTACCATCACATCAACCAATCATCAAACATCAAATCAACAGCCATTAACGCATCAGATCAAAACCTTTAAATATTGACACAATGTCACTGTACTAAATGTGTGCGAATATGTTGTTGCAGAACGGTTACCCGTCTCGTCGCCGCTCGCTCGTAGACGATGCCAGGTTCGAGACACTGGTTGTCAAACAGACCAAACAAAGCGTACTGGAAGAAGCACGCGCCCGCGCCAATGGTAAGCCGTGGTCACACCAACAATTGCAGGAAAATCACGACCATGAAAACTAATGACCGAATTTAAACCCATTTTACGAATACGAGATTTAATAACCCTCTCATATAAAAGCATATTACTCATACAGTATTATGCAGTGCAATGAAAATAATCTCGGTTTTGAAACCGTAATAAATTCACCGTAATAAAAATAATACCGTCAAATGGACTTTTCAAATTTTATTTTCTATTTTTTCGTAATCATTTCTTTATTTATTTTTTGTTTACTTTATTTTTATTTTCCTTTATTTTATTTTATTTAGACTCTGGCTTGGATTCCGATTTTATCCAAGACGGGATTCTTATTGGCAATGGTGATAACTCGCCGACTGTCGAAGATGGCACCCAACAAGACGAGACTAAGAATGGTCACCTCGGTAATTGTTTTTGTTAATCTAAAATATTTTGTTGCCTTTATTTTAAATTTAATTTTTTCGTTTATTTATTTCTTTTTTTTTATTTTATTATTTAGCTGATGCTGATATCGGTGATGATGCTGGTAAAACGGACGAGGGTCAGTATCTTACTTAAACTGTGACATCTATTTATAACTGATAATTTATTCAACTGTCGCAAAATATTCAATGAATCATAATATTTACAGATTATACTCTGACCGAGGAAGAAATAATTCTGCAAAATGCAGCAAGTGAATCTCCCGAGGCAGAGCAGGCTATCCAACAAGCCGCGTTACTGCTACGCATGCGAGATGGAATGGGCTCACTGGCTCGCATCCTCAAGACCATCGATAACTACAAGGGATGCGTGCAGCATCTCGAAACTCGTCCTTCCCAGCTGACCGGCGTCCAGTTCGATGCCCTCGTCAAAGTTAGCATGTCTCGCATCAACTTATTGCAACTTATCAGATCTCTTCGACAGTCAACCTCTTTCGCTGGAGTTAACCTCGTATCTGAGAACAACATCTCAAGCAAAACCCCATGGTTCCCGCGCCATGCTTCGGATCTCGATAATTGCAATCACCTTATGACCAAATTTGAACCTGAATTGGATATGAACCATCCTGGTTTCGCGGACAAGGACTACAGGGAGCGAAGGAAGCAAATAGCCGAAATTGCTTTCGCCTACAAATACGGAGACCCGATCCCATCTATTACCTACAAGGATTCTGAGAACGCTACTTGGCAGCGAGTATTCAACACTGTGTTGGATCTTATGCCTAAGCACGCCTGCAGAGAGTACAAGATCGCATTTGGAAAACTGCAGGAGGCAAACATCTTCGTGCCGCAACACATTCCTCAGCTCGAGGATGTGAGCAACTTCCTCCGCAAGCACACCGGGTTCACGCTGCGCCCTGCTGCTGGTCTCCTCACTGCTCGCGACTTCCTTGCTTCCCTTGCATTCCGTGTCTTCCAGTCGACCCAGTACGTTCGCCACGCCAACTCGCCGTTCCACACCCCAGAACCGTAAGTACCACTTTGATTTGAATTTATCAAATATATTGATTTGTTTATTATCAACATCAATTAACTAAACATCCAGTTTCATTATACTCACTACCACGGAAATAACGAGTGTAAATATATCAGAGATATAAAAAGATAAATCAATAACGATAATTAAATTAGGTTCAGAGTTATTGCCTTGACGCGTCTTTTACGGAAATATTACTCAACAAATCCTTGTTGCTGTTATGTAAATTAACCTAGATCATAAACCTATGTAGAACAAACCTCTTAATTAATAACTAGCACAAGTATTTTCATTCGATGTAATTATTTGCATAGAAATATTAACAATTAACATTTTTCAATTCGTTCACATGTTTTGCATCCCAGAGCATAAAACAATTTGCGAGTTCGAAGAGACGGCGCCGGCTCGCATAGTGTCGTGATGGAACTGTAACTTTGTTAAATTGAATTGCTCACTTATTAAATAACAAAGTTACACTTTATGATGAATATGAGCCAAGGCTCTGCCGTCAAAGGCGATAGTTTTGAATCGTTACTTCAACTACAAACTTTGTTATGGAATTTATCACATACTTTTATTGTTTTACTTATATAGTGCTATGTTTAAAATATTTTTTTAATTCGCAGTGATTGTATTCACGAGCTCCTCGGACACATACCTCTATTGGCTGACCCCAGCTTCGCCCAGTTCTCACAAGAGATTGGTCTCGCATCTCTTGGCGCTTCGGACGCTGAAATTGAAAAGCTCTCTACTGTAAGTTTATGTTTTGAAAACAAATCGAATAACATGATCACAGCATTTTATTTGTGCCAATGCGAATATGTAAATTTTGTGAATGGGCCCAGCTGTTGCGAAATATATCTTAACAGTGTCGCTGCATTAATACGCCCGATGGCGGTGCATTATAAACGATGTTGTCTTTGCTCAGGTGTACTGGTTCACCGTTGAATTCGGACTGTGCAAGGAGAACCAACAGCTGAAGGCGTACGGTGCCGCTCTCTTGTCCTCAATTGGCGAATTACTGCATGCTCTCAGTGACAAGCCGGAATTGAGGCCTTTCGAGCCAGCATCCACCTCTGTACAGCCCTACCAGGACCAGGAATATCAACCGATCTACTATGTAGCCGAAAGTTTTGAAGATGCCAAAGATAAATTCAGGTAGTTAATTGAATTAATTAAAATTAAGATCTCCAACTCTACGACATATAATATCTGATGTGTAACTGATGTATAACTTTGTGAACGCAGACGCTGGGTGTCCACCATGTCGCGTCCTTTCGAAGTGCGCTTCAACCCGCACACGGAGCGCGTGGAAGTGCTCGACTCCGTGGACAAGCTGGAGACACTCATCTGGCAGCTGAACACCGAAATGTTGCACCTTACCAACGCCGTCAAGAAGCTCAAGGACTCTCATTTCGAGTAATCAGCCTACCCGTAGTACACTTCAATGGTTCATTGCACGCGGCCTCGCCGCATTCTGTATAGCTAGTGATATAATAGATGTAAGACTGTTGTTGGCGTGTGTGGAGCGTATGTGCGAGCGATTGTGAAAACCATCCGATGGTACTTCGTTGAATTCCTTTTTGTACCTTATTGTATTATTTATTATGCCAGCTCATTGCCTGGGTCTCGAAGACTGCACAGAATCCCGATTGCCCATTTACGGAACCTGTGCCCGTTTCTCGAGTCCCTTACTATTATTAGTATTAATTTATAATTTAATGAAACACAAATAAATAAAAAATGGAGCACCAAAAATATATAAAAATGAATCATAAAATAAATATGCGTTTGCGTGGAATAAAATGTTTTATTTGACCTAACACAGATACATTTAAGATCTCGACTTACATAAGGAACTTCACACTAACCAGAGATGATTCTCTTTCATACTTCCTGCCGAAATACAGGTGTTCTAGTCTTCAAACATGGTTAACATTGAGCAATGTAAATCTTACTTGCAATACTTACCTATAAAATATTACTTAACGAAATAAACACACACAATGATCATTAAGGATATTACACTTTCCTTCATTTGTAGGCGATAAAAAAGTTATACTGTCTAAGTATAAAGTTCCGTAATATCACTTACAATCACATTTATAATCAGAAGTCGTCTGATCAATCTCATGCCGCAAGCTCAATATTACAATCAAATTCAAAAGACATTTAAACGCAAAATTAAATAAATGGAAGTATAGGTTCGAAGCAATCAGAGAGGGCGAAGCGGCCCTGTTCGAAGCACACCTGTAATAAGATTTGTGCGGCCCCCGAGGAATACGACCGCTTTCAAGTCTGCGAACCTAATCGGATTGTGAGAAAGAGAACATTAATTGACTTTTAAGACAATAAACAATCCAGAACATTTTTTCCTTCTAAAAGGAAGGCATTGAAATATATTTAAATGTTTTGCCCGTGGTACCTACTTCCTTCCTGCTCCATTAGCACTATTATTACATTTCGAGGTAACGCTATATCTCGCACCTCGTTATTGTTTTACTCGTGTGCAAAGTTTAAATCGTAGACGTCATTGTTGGAATTTAATATTCGCATTAAGTTTAAGGCCTAGCTTCTGTTTTATTTCGTTTTAAACTTGTATGAAGGCATTTAGCAACTTGTTAACGACAAGTTAACCTGTTGTTATAATTTTTTTTCATTTTCTGTTCGATGTTTCAGTATGGATGACACCATTGTACTTATAAAATTTCCGTTTTTTAAATCGTTCCTCTTTTAACCCTTTGAGTACCGTCATTATAGACACAATTAAAAAACAATAGGTTCCGGTCACAGGGGTCCTCGCGGTGTTTGATAGTTTAACTTAGAGTATTGAATCTGATAATACTTATTCCAAACTTAACATTTGTCACATTGTCACTACTATTCCAACACATTGATGGTTCAAACCAATCGCGACCAAGATGTACCTACGTTATGACGTTACAAACTAGTATATTATCTCATGATTCTTTCGCCAGTATCGCAGTTTGCAATAAAACGCATGATAACAAATTAAGGCATTGTAAATCGCAAACTGGTTTAGTCGATAGTCAATAACAGCATAGGGAACCTCTGAAATGTTAAAAAATGTAATAAAAAGTGTAAGTAGTGTAGTTAGCGGTGCGTTGACATTAAACAAGGCAAGTGGAGAGGCACGGCCTCAAGTCGAGCAAGGGCGCAGTGCGCTCGCGCCGCCACTCGAACAAAGCCAGCCTGCATCGCAGCCGCCGCAGCGTGTGGCCATCGCGGACGCAATATGCACGTAATATTTGCGCACTTGTAAACGCATGCGAACCAAATAATATGGGAAAATAACTTAAGGAGCACAACTCGCCATTATTATAATGAGACATTTGTAAATCACAATTCTGTGTAATTGGCCCACCAGTGACTGTAGCACGCGAACACATCGTGTTCTATCTAGACCACCGTGCGCATATATAGACTAGTAACTCGACTATCTACTCATCTTTGATGGTAGTTATATGATCGAGAGGAGAATCGATTAGATCGGCTTATCGATGGCAATGAATATACCTATTTCGTTTTTTATTCCATACATTTATTTTGCTTCGTTCTTATTTTCTAGGAGGTAACTTTTGCAAGCATCATGAATTGAACATGGGAAAATAAGGGTAATTAAGGCAAGGATCTCGGAATGTGAGATTGTCGACTGAAAATCTATGAAAAATCTTTATTTTGACTATATAACCTCTAACCTACTTATCGTAGGCCGTCCGCATCTATAGAAAAAAGATCATTTCGGCTCCATACTTTTTGGGCCTCCCCACTAAGTAGGAGTCACACTGTGTAAGTCCATAGAAAATTTCGTTAGTATTGACATTCTAGACAATATTTTTCATGTCGACTGCCCTTTCTATAGATGTGGATATCCTAAGATATTTAGGTTTCGGGAAAAGTTCTAGGTTGTCAAAATAATGATTTTGTACAAGTTTTTTGCTGAATACCTCACTTTCCGAGGTAAAACCCTTATTTTCCTAGACTATGGGTTTGGTGGTTTAGTTTTCTACAGCATAACGATTTTAATAGTCAATTTGTTCGAGATAATAAATAATTATGTAGAACTTATTCTATGAATAATTCGTCTTGTAGGTCTGACTATTGTTCTTATCAGTTATAATTCTATTGAAGATTTTATCACGAAGCAGAACTAAGTACAACCATTAAGTCTTTAATTTTATATTTCTTTAACATAAGAATGTTGATTTCGTAAGTAGTAGTTTCTTTTTTTTCAGTTACTAAAATTTATTTTCCTTATTCGTTTGTATAGTTTTTATTTATAACTGATTTGTAAAATTTGTTAATTTATAATTGGGGACTGTATAAGCCCGATACGTATTGTTAGCTTTGTTATCTGTTAATACTATGTATACAGAAGCTATTGGTATACATATTTATATAAATTATATTAAATTAACCATTCGCTGCTAAAGTGCACGAGGAGCAGTTGAACTAGATGTGTAGGTGGCTAATTTCGACAATGAAATAAAACAATAATTAGGCACTACATCAGAAACATGAACAGTTTAATAATAAATTGTAAAGACATTAAATTTTTTTGTACATTTCTGTAATATAGTATACAATTTTCATAGCTTAAATGGAATTAGTATGTAACTACATCAATGATTGTTAAAAATGTTCCAATTTAAAACAGGTTGTTTTGCTATTTTTTCACATTTTGTCTATCAACTGTGCTAATAGCATCATGGTTACGTATATATGGTAACAGAGCTCTGGAAAATGAGGTACACTCAATTTAAGTAGTATTAATCTTGTTTATTTCTGTTATTTCTTCATTGTCGGCAAGTATTACTGTGTAACTATTTTTCAGAGATGTTACTTGATTTTGAAGAGCACGAAGCCTGATCTCTACTAATTCGAAGTTTTCTTGCAAATTATTTATTTGTATTTGCATTCGTTGACGAATCTGAAAACAGAAAAAAAACATCATATTTTTCAGATAAAACATCTTGGTATGCACGACTGCCTCTTGGGAACGCCCAAGAGGCGATAAATACTACCCTATGTCGTTTCCCAGGTCTCAACCATTATTGTACCGAATGTCAATAAAATAGGTAGGTACAATCGTTTAGAAGATATAAAGACTTGGGATTTTACAGCGTAGGTCCCTTTCCCGTGAGATTTCCGGGATGAATACTATCATATGTCCTTTCTCGGGGTTCAAACTATCGTTGTACTACATTTTAATCAAATAGGTTCAGTGGTGTATTATATAAAAGTCCCAACATTGCAAGTTCCTGTTCCCGTGAGATATCCGGGATAAAAACTATTATAAGTCCTTTCTCGGGTCTCAAACTCACGTTGTACCAAATTTCAATCAATTAGGTACAGTCGTTTAAAAGATAGAGATTTTACCGCACAGTAACCATTTCCGTGAGATATCCGGTATGAAAACTATCACACATCTTTTCTTGGGTCTCAAACTACCTATTATACCGAATTTTAATAAAATTTTGAATGTCTACTGAACGCTAATTTATTTCATAAGTATTTAAATTAAATAAATATATACAACTTAAAGTATAACTCACTAAAAACTAAAATATTTACACCTTATTGATTAGTAGCTAAATGATCTAACTAAACTAAATATGAAGTTGTTTTAATTGATGTGTTTAATTGTATTAATACAAAAACATCTACTTACCATTTAAGACGACTATCTATTTACTAATTATACATTTAAATTACTCTGCCGGCTATTGTTTACTGAAAGGTTTACACGATGTATGATGTTTTATTTATATTTTGAATGTACCTCATCTCGCTCTTTTTGGCAGGCTCTACAGTGAGCTCGACTCTGTATTAATTGTCGTTCTAATTCTGATATTTGCGTTTGCAAGTATCTGCGCATAGAGTCTGCTCTTTCTTTACAACGACCCAATGATCGACTGTTTTCAATCCTGGATTCTTCTAAATCCTTCAGAAGCTGAGCGCATTCGGTTGCTTTTTCTTTGTATCTTATTTCTTGTTGTGTCATTTTCTCTTCGATCCTCAGTGCTTTACATCTACAACGAAACGATAAATAAATAATATTATGACCTTAGAACATTTACCTACTATTAAACAAAGTTCTATTGTTATGGCAAGTACCAACATTATTATAACATGACGTGTTTTATCCCCAAAGGGATAGCCAGAGGTGCACATTACGGCACTTAATGTCACTGTACAATGTACAATAATACCAAAATAACCGGAACCTTAACCTACAATTCTCAATTGTAAACTCATATCCATATAACAGAGTCCGTTTTTGACGTTTTATTAATAAGTAGGAACTTCGTTACTATAATAATATAATGTCGTTGCCATCATGGTCTGATTTCGATATCGTTTATTCTTTACATAAGCAAGTACATACATTAGCAAGTAAATAATAAAAATATATAGATTTGATGTGATTGTGATTAGCTCCCTTAATGCTCCCTGTCATTAAGTTGGTAGCTATAGGTACAAGAAATCAACATGATTAACTAGCTGTAGCTAGCAAGCCGGCACGGGGTGTTCCCCACATACCCGTTTCTAATTAAAAAAGAAATCTGGGAAAATCACATCGCCTCAGAACGATTTAAATTAAAGCATTGATGCAATTAAAAATCTCAACTAATTGCTCACACAGATTTACTCATTGAAAACTTTAATTTATGAAACCTAGAATTATATTAGAGGTAGTTTACAACTTCGAAAATTGCGAAACAAATTGTCGAACGGCACTAAATATGCACAAGATAATCCGTAGTGCACCAAGACTTGAATAAATTGAACAGATTTTATGATTCGATAAGTATGACTTCTATTCTGACACCAATTTTGAATACAGCAACCACTGGAAATATTATAGATATTCTGAGAGAAAATAATAAACATTGAAATTAGATTCAATGTCAGAATCCTTACTTATATTATAAATCGGAAAGTGAGTTTGTTTGTTTGAGGGAAAACAAAAATATTCAAAGTCAAGGAAAGCTATTTGTTTGTTTTGTCAGAACGGAGGTACTAATTAACGTGATTTTTAACTGAAGGTAGTTGAAGGGATGTATAGTCACATAGGCTACTTTTTATCCTTTTGTGACGCGAAGCCGCGGATAAAAGCTAGTTTATTATATTGTATGTTACATCATACGTCGTCTTAGTCTTAACGCTGAAGACCTATAGGTGGCTGTTATAGGATAATAGGGTAGTTTTCTAAATTTTATTCAAATGTCCGTCTGGTACATTAATTTAAAACTTTAAACATGTATTTTTTCTTTTCTCACAAAATTAAATACTTTCGACGATATATTTATTAATTTGAAATATCGCGTGTGACGTCACAGCGTGCCACATTTTGTTGCACGTTATGACGTAACAACCTCCCACTCCTAAACTTAGCGCAATTTTAGCTAAGTATTGGAACTTAATACGAGAAAATAAAAAATACTTACCTAATATTTTTTATTATCTAATTGACGGACTAATTAGATTTTTAATTTTGATACCCTGGAAACCACTCAATTATACAAAAAAAGGTTAAGTAGATAAACCTAGTACTTCGATTAAAAGTTTAGCACCTTAGCAGAGTAGAAGATCCTCAAATAAATAATGCAACTAAGTATTGCAAAATAAATCTTTTAGCATTTACTTTAGGTACCAGGTAATATTTTTCAGTTGGTAATTGATGGCGATAGCAAAAGGCAATTTTTTTTTATTTTATTAACTTTTAGCACAACTCACTTGTAATCATCGCACATTTTCGTCACTTCATCTACTTCCTTATTTTTGTCCTCTAGGGCTGCTCTCAAAAATTTGTTCTCATCAAGAAGTTTGGATCTCTCCACTTTTTCTTGGTTCAAATTGTTCACAGCTATGACCAACTGCAAATATACAAAGACAGCTCTTTCTTAATGATATCAAGATAAATTCATTTTATAGCAATTTACAGGAGGTAATTATGTACTTTCATTTAGATAATTATATATAATGCAAGTGGGTAATTTTATTCCACATTTTAGTACCTACCATGCCTTACCAACACTTATATTATATCTACTACTACTAGCATATTAGGTCTCTGTGAGGGGAATGGATGGACATTAAAAATGTCCGTTCACAGAAGTAGGTACAATATACGACTGTTGTGTAGGTACTTGAAGAAATTCTTAGTAAGTATGAAAATCTGAGTATTTGCGGAAATACATGGGTAACTATACCTTTTCCTTGACTCGAAGTAATTCGTTAGAAAGCTGTTCAGAGCTGTCTTCAGCTAATCGCTGCAGTTGCTTAGCCTCCTGTAGTTGTATTTGAGCGCCTTTTAATAAATCTGGCAAAGGAGCCAGCTCTTGCAACTTTTCTTGAAATTGCATCTTTAAATTTGTAAGAACATTAATATTGCTAATACCCAAATTAACTCGTCGAGTACCGGTTTTATAGACACAATTAAAGAACAATAGGTCGCGGTCACCGGTGACCGCTTGGTGTTTGACAGTTTAATCTAAATGCAAATCGTCACATCCTACTCTTTGATAATAACGCCATCTAGGACTGCGATGCCAAATTAAGAACGACCAAGCTTGACATTGTGCTTCTCTAATGTTAATATCATTATACTGATGTCGCTATTCGCTATTTACAGAACCTTGATTCTAGCAACTCTAGAGTAAAATGACTAAAATTTCTATAGATATTTTACCTTCATTTTTTGAATTTCTATTTGTATTTGATCAGACACTTGTTTGTTGTCGAATTCTATAACATCTAATTGACGCTTGAGCTCTTCAACTCGTTGCTGAGCTTGAAGATACTAAACAAATGCAATGAAAAAGTACGCATATTACAAATAAAGCATAGGATTCCTTCTCTGCCTAGGTCTATGGGGATGGCACGTTGATATCCTGGCTGTAACACCTACTGGTGGACCTTTGGGATTACTGGTACATAGAGAGGAGACTAATAGGCGCCTTCCAGTGACCTCAGAGCGGACGGTGGCACAGAGGTCATGTGCCGACTTCGACAGCGAGGCCCCATGGAGACGTACGTCTTCGTCTACTTCGAGACGTGCCGATATGCCATAACAGGCGCTGCACCATGAGGGCTATAAGGAGTTAGTAGATAACTAGCCCTGGTGTCCCTTACAAATGCTATAAGCATAACTTATAGTCCAAATATTTCCAAATATAAATCGTTTACCTTGATACGGTATTCCTGTAACTGCTCAGATTTCTCCACTAAAGTAATTTTAAGTTCTTCTGTCTCTTCTCGCATATCCCGCACTTGTGTTTTTAACACTGTCATTTCTTCATCGGAAGATTTCTTCGTTTCCTATTGTTAAGAAAAAAAAACGCAGACAATTAGATACAACAATTACATAGGAATCTTCCTCACTGATTACGTTACGGCTAGCTAGTTATGGAAAACTTCTGTATTTACTTGCCTACAACAATAATAATGGATTTTATAACCAAAGTAATTATGCATTTACAACTAACTGAAAATCTAGAATTGAACTGAATTCCAGAGATTTATGTGAGTACTACCTAGGTAACTACTTAGATAGCTACTTTTAGTACCTACCTACTTATGTATTTTCGTTACTTATTATTCGTGACTATTAGGTGTTATATTACTCGATATAATTTAAGTATTTAGAAAGACTATTAGACATTAGTACATCCAAGTTTCCTGTGTAAAAATTGTGTGACGATTTTCGTAAGTTTCTACCTGAACCCACGAATAAATGTGCTTCTAAAAACTGCTTCAGCCGGACATTGCACCCTCGTTGATACCTAAATATACCTATCTATGACAGGTCGCTACTTTACTCCCCAACTCAGCCCCCTGTTATGTATGTCGGTAGCTCTAGGTAGATACGTATGGGCATGGCAGCGTTGTCGCCTACTTAATTGAGTTTTGAACGTGTATTATCTTGCATCAGTGCATCGTCGGCATCTTATGAAATCACTGTTATGATAGGATGATTGGAAATTAATAGAATAAACGCGTAGTAGATAATTCATTTTTCTCTGGGTTGTAGTTAGTTAAGTATACTAGTTACATATAATGTTACATTACGTGCAAGCCTAACTGCTGTTCATTACTTACTAGATAAACTACAAAATATTGAATTGCGACTAAAAGCAATAAAAATAGTAAAGAAATAAAATTGCTGTGCCTTAATTTCTGTGATCATTCCAGCACAACAAATGTTGTTCAGTTTTAATTCCAGGTCTTTTAGCTTGGATTCATATTTCTCTCGCTGAAATCGTTCTTCGTCAGCTAAATTTTTGGCCTTTATTAATTCCTCTCGAAGTTTCGCAATCTAAATCATTGTTCAAAGTCATCATAAATGAAAACAAGTCTAACCTACAAAGATTGGTACGTCTTAGGCGATAATTATTGCGTTGGTAAACTAAATATATTATTTACTTGCTCAGTTATAAAGCACTTGATTAAATAATACATTTTAAAGAAGATATTTCGTGTCCATTAGTCCCAGCTAAAAATATGGACATAAAAGCGACTGGCTTCACTGGGATTTATTTTTATCCTGTCTGGTCGACGCATCAGCTACAGTACAACCTTATGAAAATGGACATATTTATCTCACAATTCAATTTAGTAATTTTGCTACTTTTCTTTACACTTTAGAATTTCTGATCGGTCGAAACTAACAATAGCTCATAAATTATTTATGGATTAGGGGGATATGAACAGGCGGATCACCTGATGGCAAGCAATCAATGCCGCATCTTGACTCCCACTCCCACAACACCAGAAGAGCCAAGTGCGTTGCCAACCTTTTAAACAGCAGTAATGGCGCTCTTTTCTTGCAGTTTTGCAGTTAATTGCTTTTATTGAGAAAGTAAAAACACAAACTAACACAAAGATAATTTTATAATTAGAGACTAAAGAGGCGAAACTTACTTCTGGATATTTCACTGTACTATCATCCTCTAACATGTCTGCTTGTTGTTGTTCTATCTTTAGTACTTCTTCAGTATCCTGAAAAATAGTAATTATAAAATAAAATTTATTATGACGGATAAGTAGGTGGTTATACCTACCTACGTTCTTAGCAAAATATACCTATAGTTAGATATATAGGCAGGTACCTAAATAAAATTTCACATTTTGCTATGCAAAACTGGGTATATCGGTATAACGTGGGGTCTTCAAGGCCTAAATGAATGGTTGCTTATCTGTTATAGGCTGCATCGTCGTTGGCCCATCAAATATAAAAGAACTGTTTCATACGATATAGCGATAATATAATTACACCTGATACCTGTTTAGGAATAGGTACAAATGAATATGAAAATAATAAAAGTAAATTGTACGTAATAGCGATGTAGGAATTTGTATCTAAAATACGAATAGCACTGAGCAACCTGTTGCACTAACAAAATCAATTGCGGAAATATTTAATCAGGCGCACAGATTGTAACGAAATTAATGTCTGGAATATTACAACAGAACATATCCCTTCTTTTTATCTATATAAAAAATACTATAAAATTAAACACACAAGTAACATCATCATCATCATATTGGTCATAAGACGTCTACTGCTGAACATAGGCCTCCCCTAATAACTTCGAGATAGGTGGGTTAGAAGTGGTTAATATATATTATATTATAATGGTAGGTTTACCTACCTTCATAATAATTTTAAATTCCTATGAATAATACATGGAAATAGCTGCTTACCGAAATTACTCCTGTTGACTGATTACGAGCATATAAATCCATTCTATCTCGTCTAATTGCTGCTAACTCCATTTGGATCGACTTGACTTCCCCTTCCATGTCGCCCAGCTGTTTTTGCTGAAAAAAATAGTTGGGTACATGGAAATAAGGGGAGCTTATAGTCAATACTAATACGAACTAATGTTGCCTTTGTAAAAATTAAACAGTAATCTTATGAAGTGACACAAAACATACTAAAATTGCAGCTTCATCACTGTATTCAACATTTTCTGCTGTCTTCCCTTTGTTAAACGGCCAGTATTCTGATTGAGGCATTAACACTAATATATTGTATAAAAACAATCAGAAAAATATCCAATATCAATTTATATAACAAAGACTAGGTATAATGGTTACTTGTTTTCGAAAAGATTATGATTAGGAAGCAAAATATTACGAAATCAAATTAACTATACAAAATAATCACAACTACCAAGAATCTTTTATGAAATGTCAATTACTAATCAAATTTTATTAATGGCCAGAGTTTTTGGTAATCAATTATTTAGCAAAAAGTATGTAACAATTTTAATAAAAAAGCGCTTACAATTTTTTCGATCGATGCGCTATGTTGAGAATAAACGATCGTGAATATTACTAATGCAAAGAACATTTTGAGGAGTGTAATTTTGGCTAAGTTTATTTACGCAGGAAGAACACGAACAAGATTGAACACTCAATCGAAACGAAATTATGGACATATGGATTACTTAATTGTTTACGACTTGTTGCTTTAGATCATATTGGAAACTGCAGGGAGGAGGTATACCTACATCTGTGGGTAAGGGAGGTTGGGGGGAACGTCATGGTTATTGATTTATGCATCTGAAACAAACATAATAGTTATACCGTTACAAGTGACCGGCGTACGTTGTAGCTCTGCGCAATAAGACAACATACGACGTACTGGTGTAACAGAAAGGGACAATTATACATCAGCTAGTGCCGATAAAACAAACCCTGTATAGGCAGAAGTACGGACCCTACGGACTATGCCGAACTAGCTAGTGATGTGAAATGATATTTATCGACTTGAATTTTATTTGAAGAACAAATAGGTACCTACTTACAGACTTTGGAGAAATAAAAATAAACTGAGAGTATTCCAAATTGTTAATACATAATTTTTTATAAAGGTAAGTAGCTAGGGTTTTTTTAAGAGGGGAAAATCATCGAATAACTGCTCCCGCCTGGGTGAGACGGGAGGGAGTGTCAGTCTCTTACTGACTAAAAACCACCCCGTTCCTTCTCCTGCACGTCGAGTAGCTAGGGTAAGTTTGTCTTTATGGTGTACTAGCATCTGCAAATGGTTTCACTCGCGTTCCGTGCTTACAGAGTAGCTTATATCAGAAAATAATCTACCCTACCCATATTTACCTATAATGATAAGGATAGTACCTGGTACCTACCTAATTTGAACAGGTTAGTGCCGAAATCTATGCAGTGTTCGGCGAATACCTACCTATAACGCAACAGGTTGCTCGTCAACCAGAGGTAGGCACTGCTAAATAGGGAGGTAATTGCAACGGATTTTTATTTAAGCCACACTTAGGTGAACCTACCTATCACAAAATCACAAGCAAAAACTATTTGACAATAGTAGAATATAGATTACTTACTCATACAAATCGTACCTACTACAGAAGATCACAAACTTTATCGATATCGATAATCTGCTTCATTACCATCTCTTAAGTAGCTTCACAATTTTACTGCACTGTAAATCATCGCCAGTCAGGAATCAGTGAATCAGGTGAATAGATTCTCGAGAGTTAGCTATTTTCGTTTTTTTGTGCGAGGTTTAATAATTCACCGACTTAAGAGTGGCAATTATCAATAACACGGATATTCTGGTGTTAATATATGAAAGTTTTTGAATCGAACTTTAATCGTCAACAAGGGAGTTGGACAATCCATCAAGTGGTCGGCCATATTTTTCGACGATAATGTAAGTAGGTACCTACTTGCTTGAGTTGTATCTATGTAATAATTGGTTTTAATTTGACATCAAGATAATGTTATTTTATTATTTTCACGTCTATTAGCCGTCCATTCGCAGCTTCGGCGAACACCGCCTGCGTAGGAAGAAAAAAAATAGCCTCCTTAAACCCATAAGGTACCTACCTACCTACTCTCCACTTCTCCGGTCTCCTACCTATCTTAAGACTTGATGCTCTTTGCCATAAACACAATAATAGGCACTTATTATGAGTACTTGCCGTAGGTGATATTATGGTTTTTTGAGGGGGAAATTCATAGAAATAGAATGACTACCCTGCCGATGGTTAGACAAGAGCTGACTAAAAATTATCTCGATCCATCTTCTTCTGGACTTGCAAACCCGGACGGATAGTGGCCCTAGCGGTCTGATGGCTATTTGAGGCGCACGCGCGATGTAGATACGGGCTCGGGCGGTGCTCAGCTCAAGCAAGTCACACCACACCGTGCACCACCACCGTCTCCTCGGAGTGGTTCTCACCAGTACCGACACACGGGTGTTTCCTTTTTTTCTTTCTTTCTTTCGCTGGATACAAAACAGCTACCTCCCGAAATTGCTGTATCCAGTACCTAAACATTTTCGTCAAAACTCGAAGGTGAGGATGTCGGCGAGACTTCTCTCTAGTCTACCCACTCATCAAAGAGGGAGCTTACCGTGGTGATAACAGAGACATCATAATATTGTGCTATTGCGCACTTTTTAGACCTTATGATGTACCTAGGTGTGTGAATGAACTGAAGATCCAATTCAGGAGAGGGGTCCCCTATCCTCAAATTCCCAATTCATAAACGGCCGGCAAACAGCGCACTTGTAACTCCCAAAAATAATTAACAAGCGCAAAAATAATTAAAATTACTACTGAAAGCCAAATATTAATCTACCAAATATTAATGACATTATTTTAATTTGTTACTCATACATTAAAAAATGTGTTGATTTACAATTTAAGAACCTTTAAAATAATTAGGTAGTAATTCCTTCCTCTGGAAGATAATGCATCAATTAAGAAAAATTGATAATACATATCAATTTTTTTTTGATATTAACCCACGGTATGCGGTACCAATGGGTACCACGATTTTATAAAAACTGTGCTTTTATTACAAATGCGCTCTGTGGACGGTAACCGCCTTTTCTGCCTTGGCTGCTTGGCTGGCGCTAAACATTATTTTATCTTTGGCGAAGTTTCATTAGGTGTGATTTTTTATCTGTGGTTTAGTAACTTGCCGTCAGCCCGCATGTCACGTCACGTCAAGCGCTTGTACGTACTTCGTTTCCAATGTGATTATTTTATCTTGAAATATATTTTTTATTAGTTTTATGTGTGTTATTGATACACAATGTGGCATAAATTCAGTTCTTTAAGTGATAGTAGTGTGTTTTTCTTTTCCAAGCAGGAATTCGTTGAATTTGCCAAATATCTATGTAAGAATAATTAAAAATATTTGAGGCATTTGAAAATGGCATTGCCCTTAGACTTTGCGGACGTGGAGCTCCGCAGTTCAGTCATTTTTAAGTGTTAATTGGTCAGCTAGGGTCTCAAACATTAAAGAACAAAAAGGGAAAAAAATCAATACGTTGAATTCATTTATTTTGTGCCTGTACACATGAATCTAACTAAAAAGTTGTTGGTCTGGTTTTATTATTTATTTTATTTAATTACCCGGTAATTTTATTGTTGCATATCGCTTCACATTTCCAATTAACAACCTAGACTGTATTTTTGATTTGACCTCAATATTTGTTTAAATTCATTTTTTCTTAAATATTTAAAAAGTGTTTAAAGTATTGAACTTGACCATTTGTGATTGCAGAAATAAATATGTTAAAAATATAATGCAAAGTTAGTAAGTGGAGAAATATCAAGATCCAATATGGATATGAAGATAGAGTTCAATGACACTGATGAATCCCCGATAGTTCCTCCTAACAGTATAGGCGCATGGAGTATTAAGAATGACACTTCAGTGCTGATCACAGACCCACAGCCGAGTGGATCTCATAGGAAAATTATTAGGGTAAGTCTACATATTATGTGATACAGCAGCCTATAAGTGGCCACTACTGAGCAAAGATCTCTTCTCACACCGAGAAGGTTTGAGCATTAATCACCACGCTTGTCCACCATTAATATCAAATTATGAGTAACTTAATTCTTCACATAAATATCTTTTAGTTAGTCAATTATTTTATTAGATTATCCCAATTTCAGAAGACTACTTAATATAGAGGTAGCATTTTATCAAAAATGTTTATCATTAGCAAAGCTATTATTTTTATCTAATCTGACTTAAATATGTATAGGTACTGATATACCATAGGCTTAGATGTTGCCAAGTTTGTCCAGTGCTAATAAAACACACATTTAATCGTGTTTTTAATTAGTATTGAGACATTATAGAAATTATCTATATTTTTCCTATTTGTAATAGAAAAAAATATATATCTGATTTGTAAAACTGTGTGAAGGTGTGGTTCATGTTTTTATTGTTTTGTCTGCAAAAAGAATACAGACATTCACAAAAAGAAAAACCATTAATTAGTTAATGAACCACTATGAAGAATAAATAACCAAAATTAATTGAAATTCCTTGTTGATAAATAATTTCTATGTATGCCTTGTTTTGCAGAAAATTTTTAGAAATCATGTTCATGATGCATATGGTAGTAAACAACTGTGTTTAAGATTATAATTTCTTTTTCAGCGATGGAATCGTTTGTCAAGATTACAACGATCAATAGTTTATGCACTATTCGTGATAGCAGGGACTGTCCTAGTGATGTTTTATGTCTCGAAAGTTTCTGCAGCTAATGTAAATAAGATTAATCATAGTGATTTAGGCCAAGTAAGTATTTTTTAAACAAAGAGTCTTATATAATGTTCATGTGTCATTTACTAACACAATGGTACGCTTGAGGGCCCATGAAATATTTCATATACTGGCTGGAGCCATTATAGTCCATAATTAGATTGTTTCCAAATCTAAACTCTAAACAAAACTTGAAACTCAATTCACCAAGTTTCTACTTGATACTAATTTTACTAACAGTCAAACATTACTATTCATATGTAAAAGATTAACGAAGCGCTGAGTTTAACAGTGTATAGAAGTATTCAACAAATTTGGCATTCACAATACATTTCCTGCTTCTATTTAAGATAATATTGTAGGTATGTACTTCTATACTGAACACTCATTAACATCGAACACTGATATTATTTCCACATGCGCTTATCAAAAAATATGTTAACTACTGTTTTAGAGATAGTATTACTACGCTGTGAGTAATGAACTAGTTAATAACGTTTTAAAAAGTTATAACTGTATATGTAGGTATTCACATGTCACATGTGTGTGTTTTAGTCACATGTATTTTTTATTACTTTTTTTAGGAAACACTAAAAAATTTGTCTCTAGTCAATGAACAAGTAGCTGAGGCTGCTGTATCGAAGAAGACTGTTATAAACGATGAGAAAGCTGAAAGACCCATGTTTACAGGTAGAGTACAATTGATGAGTAATTAAATTGATAAGCATAAAAACATTACGGGGGTTCTGGTTCGAAGCAGGATTTTTAGTCAGTAAGACCCTGACACTCTCGCCTGATTCGAGGCGAGAGAAGTAATTGAATGATTTTCCTCCCATAAAAAAGCATACAACCATTGTAACTATTGTAACCATTGGCTTTTTCAATTTATGTGCATGATAAGGATTTTAATTGTATGCCTGTTATGACTAACTGAAAACTATCGGTTTATGAAACCAATTAATTTTTTAAGTTTTAATAACAACTGTGAAAATAGTATTCAGACGTATTTTAATATATTTTTGTCGTTTTTAGGACCTATCAATGCTCGTCAATATGCCGTTGTGGAGAGCTTCAAACATGCTTGGCGTGGTTATAAGGAGCACGCGTGGGGCCACGATAATTTGAAACCAGTCTCTGGGATGGCCTTTGATTGGTTCTCTCTTGGACTTACCATTGTCGATTCTTTAGACACTGCTTACATTATGGGACTGAATGACGGTAATTTAAATACTGTAGTATTCGTGCTATTCTGTTGTTAATAAATATGTTTTGGGGTCTATGGTTAGCGATGAATGAGACTGCAGTATAAATGTATATAAAGAGTTAGAAAATGTTAATCTTTGTTTTCTACAGAGTAAAACATTAGTATGAATTCTAGATTTCCTTCAACCAATAGTCGAAATCTTTACAATTTTTTTTCTAATTTCCCAGAATTTGAAGAAGGCAAACAATGGATTCAGAACGAACTGGTTTTCACAAAGAATAAGGATGTTAATTTCTTCGAAGTCACCATTCGTGTTCTGGGAGGTTTGCTGTCTTGTTACCACTTTACACAAGATCGTATGTTCCTGACTAAAGCTGTGAGTATTAAAAGTCATACATTAACACAATGCTTCTACAAATAAGTAGAAATAGTAATTAAACATGGTAAGTGCCCATTATAAAATAGACTCTTATTTTTAGATTGACCTGGGAGACCGCCTGATGGCTGCTTTCTCCTCACCTTCCGGTATACCGTACTCCGACGTGAACCTTGGTGAAAGAACAGCTCATGCACCAGAATGGTCTCACTATAGCACTACTGCGGAAGTGACTACAGTCCAATTGGAGTTCAGAGAGCTCTCCCGTGCGAGCAATAACCCTGGATTTGAGGTGGGTTTTAAAAGAAAACTTTATTGTTCCTTCATATAGGTTTTCCTCCAGATTTTTGTGTAGAACACGGAATTTGAATAGGAAAAGGTAACCAGTTATGTATTAGGTTTACCAAAATACCAATTTGTATTCTCATCTAAAATGTCTACTACAATGTACAGGTAGGTACGTAGGTCGGCCCCTTCATCGCTACACGTGTCTTCCACTAACACGTGATGATAATCGTTGTCTAGTAGTTTAAAGTATATATGTATTTGTTTTATATAATTATGTAATGTGTCTACTATAGAACATTATACCTATTCAAAGTGCAGGAAAAAAGTATTTATGTATATCTACAAATCTTGTACAAATTACCATTGCTTTTTTGCACGTATCTTCATAAAAACACTGTCTCTGACATATCTAAAAAATAAGATATTTTTACTTATAAAGTGTATGTACCTAGGTTATTTGACTAAATGTAATTCAAAAGGTTTCTGTATCTGTATAATTAGAATTCGACACAAGTACACGTCGCCGTGGTGTATGTATGATACGCCTCACGGATTCATTTCCCACGAATAACGTAACATGTTTTATACCGAATGTAGGTAAATCTATTTGGACAATGTCTGTGTAATTTATTCGTCCTTGCAAACATGCGATATTGTATAAATGCTAATGTAAAAAATGTTCTATTGTCGTGAAATACAATGAGTGATTCTACGAAATTGTCGAATGCATCTCACAGTTGTCACAGTGTACAGAAATGCACGTTACACAGTGAAATATCTTTGAAGAATCACAACTGATATTTTCATCTCGCGTCAACATGATCACCTGTAATTAATATGCGTCATTATACTCATTGTACTGAAAAGAACACGGTACTAATTACTATGAAAATTGTACTAGCACAGGCTTATAATGTGAATAATGTTTTTGTCACGAGACAACAGAAATAATCAAATGTGTACAATAATATTTTCGGCGCCACTGGCGAGTGAAGATACTTGTTATTATGGCAAGCAAAGTGTTGGCATTATGGCTAATGGTACACAATAAATAACTATATTACAACTATTTTGGCATCGTCATGATGAAAAACTTATAAAAAGTACCTAGCACACAAAAACAAATTGTGCGCTAAACATAGGTAATTGTTAATTCAGTCTGATGCACATACTTACTTACTTAGGTCTCGTCTCGCCTGTCCTACATTGGGGTAGGCAGACACAATGCGATATGGACACTATACTGACTAAACTCAGCTAAACCTTAAACATATGAATCATAGTTTCGAATAACGATGTTGTTGATTTATGTTCCATTACTCATTGTTTTATTTTAGGATGCTGCCGCAGCGGTCTCGGAGAAAATTCATCATTTACCGAAGAAGCATGGTTTGGTGCCGATATTTATAAACCCAAACACTGGCCATTTTCTGCCGCACGCCACCATAACGCTTGGAGCTAGAGGGGACAGCTATTACGAATACTTACTTAAACAATGGCTGCAGACCGGAAAAACCATTAACTAGTAAGTATTGTATAAAAATAAATAGTTTGTATTACTTCGCTTGCGTAAACTGTTACTTATAACAATCTAGAGAAACCCATTTATTTTTGTGCCAAAATGCATTGTTATTTGTTCAGCTGTTAAGGTTTAAATGTTCTCATTAAATAAGAGAAAGAACATAGTTTTACATCCAAGCATATGTACCTATAAATGTATGAACTATAACTACAGTACTTACTTATATAATACATATAATTCATCAATATAACTATTCAAGCATAACTTGGTATAAGATTTACTGCGAAAATGTATAAAAACGTGATGCCTAGTAATGTTATGTTGCTATGCGCTATTCCAACCGCAAAATATATTCTACTGCGAAATAATGGCTATTTGCTTTCAATCGATCTCAAGGCACTATAGTAATAATATTTGGGCAACACTCAACTATTCGCGAATAGACTCGTAAAAAATTGAAGACATTCCTAATTTACATCTACAAAATTCGGCGTAGAGTATCATTTATTGAACGAGGATTTTGTACCCATAACTTCGTAGTTAATAAGAATTATTTATTTATTTATTTATGTACATACATTCAACACAGAGGATAATACATAATAAAAAACAGAGTACATAGGCCCCACATATTCCAACTGGATACATATGTTTAGGAAAAACTATTTATACTTTCCTACTCGATTACGCCTCGAGCCTATTGATATTGGTAAACATCCCTTTGAGATATCAAAGGCGGATTGAATGTCAAGAGCGCCCTAAGCAAGCATGTCAGTCGACACCCACTTAGTGAAATAATAATAGAAAATAAATAATTATTGTGATTATTTCCAAATCCGAACAATTGTAAGAAGCCATTTGTATTGTATCTTTACGTATCAAGAAATCCACCTAATTTGGCTTAGGGATTATCCGGATGTATAGGAAACCTTAAAAATGCTCACCTTTAATTGATTTTTCACGTTTTCAAAAAAATATCTAAAACTTAAAATTGAAAACCATTGAGTCTGTGATTGCAAAATGTTACCTACATATCTCTTCGTTTTAAGGAAAAAATACTTTTGTTATAATATCGTTTGAATTCGTTTGACGCTCGCGAATACTATTTTTAGACCGCTCTGAACCTGTGTCGGCAAAGCGACAATTAGCTTAATTAGAGAATAAAAAGGTCAAATAAGTAGTTCAAGTGTGTTGTTGGCGTGTTGAGTAAGAGGTATTCGAGAGGCCCTAGGTCAATATCAGACGCAGTACATACTCATCATGTTGTGTGTACCTTTAGGTGATAGGCAGAGGTGTTGACAGTTATGTTGTAAGTCCCGCATATTAAGGAGTTAAGTGTATTATCCTTCACAAGTTAATACTCAAAGAACGTATAGTTCGATACATACTGCTGGAACCATTTCAATCAAAGCAAATAAACAATAATATCTGTTTTATTTATAATATTTATTTTAAATGTTTCCCCGAGCGTCTGGCAATGTCTGGCATACAGTTTAAATTCGCGCTTTGCTAAATTAAAGACTAGAAGCGTCGTATTTTTTTGGAATCATTTGTTATGACAATACCTTCGTTATTATACCTATCAGCCGACCATGGCAGCCGCAGAACTAGACAAACATGAGATTATTTTTAACGTCTGCTGCTAAATTAATACCTTACCTTGAAAGAAAAGTTTTAATACCGATTCCCATGTTAGCATTTTTAATCCTCAAAGCGGTAGACAGTTGCACTTTGAAGTGCAGAAAACTGGCACTAGGACAATTCCAAAAACCGAAGTTTCTAATTCGTAAAGCTGAGGAAATCTTTGAACAAACACAGTTACAGAAACTGTACCCAGAGTGACGTGACTACTGCACTCACAACAAATCGATCAATGACGCAGCTGTTTTATATATGGCTGTAACTATGCAGTTCTGCTTACCCCTTAATCACCTCATTATCTAATCTGCTTAGCGTGTAATCTAAAACTGTAATTATTAACTTATGTGTTTAGCAAAGCTATGAATAGCAATCTTACAGCTATTGCTTAGTTTTTAAGAATTAGAAATATAAACTTTATTTTAACTAAGCAGATCCCTTTTTTATAAAGCTTACAAATACAAGATGCGATTGTAATAATAAATGTGTTTCAATTAAAATGCTTAGCAACATAAATACGACTGTTATAATATGGCTCCAATCCATGTCATAATTTGTAAATAAATATAATTTCAAGCAATATGTTTCTCCTATTTCAGTTTATTGGACGATTACTTGACCGCTATCGAAGGTGTCCGTAACTTCTTGGCAAAGCGATCGTCGCCAAACAAACATCTGTTCATTGGAGAACTATCGGCCGGGTCAGAGGTGAGGTATCTTCAATATTTGAATATTGTTAGATAATATACAAAAAATTGGAATGATAACAGACGGTTTATCATACAATTTGTACTATTTGATTAGTAAATAAATGATGTAAGGTGTTTGAAATCGTTAGAAATATATATTATATTACCTATATGGTCTTAAAAAAATGTATGGTTTAGGTGTCTATTCGATAAAATAAAGTTTCAAAATTAGGTGTCTATCGATCGTGTAATACAAAAAATAAGCGATTAGTTCTAGTACCTCTATCTGAAAACAAATACTTTTTCACACATTTCGTAGCGATATCATAAAATGTCATTTTTAATCTGTAATTAGATAGTGTTATCACACGCATCGCTTATCCGTTGTTATACAGCCACTACAATTACTGTGTTCCCGGATAAGTAAGTTTGTGGCATAGAGACATTGCAAAATGGTGCTATCTCTTTCATAAATAACAATTTTTATCTAATAAAACATATTTTAGAAATGACTGAATGATCAACTAAACGTTTGAGTAGTTGTTTTATTGAATAAAAAGTTAATAGACAAGTAATAAATACTTCTCTAACTAAGACCCGTTGTGCAAAAAATGTATGACTAAATAGTTGTCTACTTTCATAATATTTATTTATTGTATTTAAAAGAAATACATGACATGTTACATATCGTGTCTACCACGTTTAGATCTTAGTTATTGCACATGAATATCAGAGTAACGTAAAATATGTCTTACAGTCAACAACATAGATGCGATTTTAAAATACAACTGTTATTATTATTATTCAAGTGAAGAACGTTTCACAATAGCTGCCAAAACGTAGGTAATTCACATGTATGTAACATGCTCTAATACATGTATTTGGGGTTTTTGACCTCTGCAGTGTGTGTGTGTGTGTGTGTATACTCAACATAGGATAAATAATACTTAACATGTCATATCATCTATAATACTTGACATGTACAGCAAAAAGTCTAGTGGCGGTCAATAACACTTGATGACTTATGTTCTAAAAAACACAAACATCTTATCTGTGCTACTGCCTTTTCTCCAATCTTCGCCTGTATGAAACTTGAAGAACTTTCTGCGAGAATATCTGGATAAAAAGTAATCAAATGTTAGTCCCTCAAGATTCTCCATTGGGTAATGAAGAATTTTTCTGTAGTTCCGGTCTTCCAGAGCCTACTCAATGAAAAATTTAATTTTTTACAATATTAGTACAGGTTGCTAATTCGTATTATAAATCGCTCTGCTTTGATAACGCTTTGGCTCTGGATTTGATGTGATTTAACAACGTAAACTAAAACAAATTCATGTTGAGGAAACTTGGTATAATTTGGAGCATAAATATTATTGTCATGTATGTGGCACGACAATAGACTTGCTTCCTACACGTGGAACATAACAAAATTTACTAAGTACCTACGTAATTGGTACCCACACACCCATGCTCCTCCTACAAAAGGTTTAGTAATGTCTCATAGACATTGCACACATTGTCTTATTCTCTATAGTTAGAACGTTATTTTTATTAAATGCGTTAGCTAAAATTAAACTTGCCCAGTTTATTTGCTTTTTATGAACAAAAATGAATTACGGTACATAAAGTGGTCTTAATGCCATAACGATGTTTTGCTCAGGATCGGAACAATCTGAACAGGGGGTAAGGCCCCAAGAGTAAGCTTTTGAATTCAATGCCGATCGATCGACATTTGTATTGAAATTTCTTACTGTGAGTTAAAACACTAGCGCCTATTGCATCCGTATTGCGTGGATATAATGAACTAAATGAGTATTGAGTTTAGCTTTATATTCCGTAATTTTAATGCTATTTTAACACCTACTACAGGGATTGTATAGTTTTGACATTGAATAATTATTGAGATTTTATTGGATTTAAATTGCATTGACAGTGAGATTGGTTTCAAGAGTAAGCACTCTTTACCCACTACTGTAGAAAATTCTGTTGATTTAAACCTAGACTAACTTTCAGACTTAGTAAACTTTGTAAAACTCAAAAAATAAAAACTATGCTGTGCCATAAAGCTACGTTGTTAAAGGGTTGCACTGATCTATTACTCCAATAGGGTAGACGACTAATTTTTATTTTAATGTCCGTCTGGTAGATTATTTAAAAACATTAGACACGTATTTTTTATTTTCTTACGGAAACGAATAGTTTCGAAGATATATTGATTTGAAATGTCGCGTGACGTCACTTCTCAGTACATTTTATACTGAGTAATGACGTTTTAGCCCCCACTCCTAAACTTTGATTCGTTTTATCTAAGTATTGTTTTATTATACGACAAAATAAAAAAATACGTGTCTAATATTTTTTAATTACCTAACTTACGGACTAATTAGATTTTTAATTTTCATACCCTGTCATCATCCCCATTGTGTACATAGTTGCTAATTCAACTACCTATAAACTCGAGAGTACTCTCAACGTTTATCATAGTTGACTGTTATCATGCAATGATACCGTCATTGTCATTGTGCTAACCTCTCGAGAAGGCTAGATTAGAATTTAATAGCTTTATACCAGTAAACTTTACACCATGTTGAAAATATGAGTAGTGACATTGTAGAACACATATTAAGGGAAAATGAATTTGATCCTTTGATATTCTCTATAGCTGGAAATCCTTATCCTTACTATAATATTATAAATCGGAAAATGAGTTTGTTTGTTTGTTTGTTCCGACTTTACGCCGTAACTACTAAACCGATTGCATTGAATTTTTGCAGACGTAAAGTTAGTAGTCTGGATTAAATAATAGGGTACTTTTTATCCCGAAAAAATTTGATATTCCCGAGGTAAAACAAAAGTATTGGTATAGATGGCGCTGTATGTATTGGTATATGTCACATAGGCTACTTTTTATCCTTTTGTGACGCGAGCAAAGCCGCGGGTAAAAGCTAGTATTTAATAATCAGTGGATTTTTTATGAACAAATCCACTGATTATTAAATCACATCCTACTTGTCCTGCTAATATTATAAATGTGACAGTTTGTGAGGATGTATGTGTGTGTTGTTTGTTACTATTTCACTTCAAAACGGCTCAAGGGATCGAGATAAAATTTAGAACATGGGTAGATTATGGTCTAGAATAACACATAGGCTACTTTATTCCACGGAAACGCGGGCGAAACCGCGCTGGCAGAAGTTAGTAATGTATAATTATGGATTTCAGACATACCTACTAGACAAGATCTTATTATTTTATCTCATTGCCTCACCAGCCTTATATTTGCAAACAGTGCTAAACATGCGATCCCGGATTAAATTCTCAGAAATATATAGATGAAAAAATTATAGTCATTAGTTTTGATGGCATTTGATTTAAATACTGAATACGGTCTCAATTTTCCAGGCATTCAATCCCAAGATGGACCATTTGACTTGCTTCCTGCCGGGTACATTAGCCCTTGGCCACGCCAATGGCCTCCCTGACTGGCACATGACCATGGCCGAGGAACTCCTTTACACCTGCTACTTGACATATGCTGCTCATCCAACATTCTTGGCTCCGGAGATAACTCACTTTTATATGGTAAGTGATTATGTTTAATAGGGTTCACTGATGAACTAAATATAGGCGTAAAGTGGGGGCTCCAATCAGAGTTCAAGTGACTTATTTATTCAACGAAGGCACTTCTAAAAACATTGAAGCGGACAATCGAAAAAGTTCCCTAAGAGTCGTAAACATTGTTGAAGGGAGGATCCTAGAGGGATTCTAGAGGTTCGAATTACAAAAAGAACTTAAAAATATATTTAAAAGGTCTTAACTAAACTTGTTTTAAGTTACCATGACATTACCTGGAAGTAATTCTGGCGGCGTCCAGAATTTAAGAGAGACATACAGAAGAATCAAACTACAAAAATAATTTCTGCATAAGTAGGTTTCTTGCAACATACAACACAATAACTCGACTACTACAAAACTGATGTTTACATATTTCTTTTTTATTTAATTTTTGTCTTCTACTATATTCTCTTTCTCAGTCTTCTTTCCGTGCATACTTATTCGTGTGTTACATATACCTAGTACTTGTTATTTTTGGTTTCAATTCTTATTTGTGTTGCTGGGTTTGAAATTTTCAAAGCACCACAACATTTTACCACTGTCTGTTTTCATTTTATACTTGTATTATTATTTTTCATTCTTCCATTACTTAATACTACATTATTACTTGTTTACACACAAGCCAGGATATCATTCTCGACTTCACTTAAGGGATTAATTTATGTACATCAACATGAGACATTCCTCACAGTCACACAGCGCACATAAGCGAATAAATTCACCTTCACGCCACAATGCTTGACCACGTTTTGTTTTGTCACGTAATTTATGTTGCTTTTTTCTTCATCCCCATTTAGGAAAATGTGCCAACGTCCAAAAATGTTCCGCAGGCGAGTGTCGCCGAAGATATGTACACTAAGACTGCCGACTCTCATACTCTTCTGCGTCCTGAATTCGTTGAGAGTCTGTGGTACATGTACCAAATTACTGGAAACACAACATATCAGGATTGGGGCTGGCAGATATATCAGGTTAGAGAATTTTTACTTGATTTTGTTATATTCACATATTTCGAGATAATATATTTTAAACGTAGACAGACACAACATCTTAACAAGAAATATTATTCAAACGAAAGCTGTTACTTAAATATAATATAACCTTTTTTATGTCTTTACAGGGATTCGAGAAGTACGCACGAGTACCAAACGGTTACACATCGCTGGCAAACGTGAAGGTTGAAAAACCAGTGCAACGTGACATGATGGAATCCTTCTTTATGTCGGAAACTCTGAAATACCTGTACTTGCTGTTCAGCGACGATAGGTTCACAATTGACCTGAACAAGTACGTCATTAACTCCGAAGCCCATCCACTGCCTATACACAAAAACTAGGAGCCGGTCTATTGGTACATTTAAAGCAACATGGTCTATTGGTACATGTTTGCGTTGGGACCCCTTTGCGAAACAGCATAGGGTCGAATTAGAAATGCGCGTTTTCGCGAACCCTTTTTAAGGCGAGAATTCCTGTAGCCATTGCGCACTCAATGGAATGTCCCCCTTAGAAACTAGCAATAGTAGTGCAATTTCTTAAATATCTAATTGTGTCATTATAGGTGTCTGTTTACTCCCAAAGTTCAGTATGAAACTGTAGGTATTATAATTATTGTGTTATGCCATATTTAAACAATACTTAATAATATAATACATTTTACCAGTAGTTAATGTAGTGCTAAACAGTATCTATGAAACAAGTACTCATTACTATAATAAAACCGTTTTCTGTATTAATGGTAAAGCATATAATATTCGATTAATAGACTGCCTCGTTGGCCGAGTGGTGGCAAGTTCGACTGCCGGGCAAGGAGACTCGGGTTCTATTCCCGGATCAGGCTAAATAATACTACTGGGTTTTAAAAAAATCTCAGTAAGCAAGGAGTTTGGAATTGTGCCCCGTATATAGCAATAGGCTCACCCCCTATTACATGGGACTCATAACATAAATAGTGAAAAGTGGGTGTTACATTGTACAGTGGCATAATGTGCACCTCTGCCCTTCGAGGATAAAAGGCGTGATGTTATGTTATGTTCATATAATATTGAACTTTATTATTGCCTAGAAATATACAAATACATGTTTCTTCATTTGTTATTACGCGCACTACCAGTTTCTCAGATAGATAATTGATAGCATTTATTTCTTCGTATCAGTAAGTACATGTCCTATGCATACAGCGTGTTTAATAATAGATTCATAATTTTCACGATAAATAGTAACAACACTAGATTGAATCACATTATTCCTAATAATAATTATGTTATTAAGTACTTAACTTGTAACGAATTTATAATTAATGTTTTGTATGCAAGGAAGTTCTTGTATTACTCATCTAACTCTTTACAACCGACTTATTACATTCTCAGATTAATTTTGTATTTGGTAGACTATATTTTGACGGGACCAAATTTTGTAGTGACTATGGATATTAACACAGATTATTTACTAAGTTAATATCAATCAAAGAATATTTATTTGGCTGTATCATTGAATTTTATATTATGCAGGCTGGTGGTTTAACATCAGCAATAATGGGTTGGTCACATAGCTCTACAGCGAAGAGCAATGAAATTTGATGTTATGTTAAATAAATCGAGAGGCAAATTGCATAGTATAAAGAGTAGTTGTTGTGACCATTTGCATATAACCTGTGTTGTAACCGGCCTGTATAAACTAATTTTAGTCATGTTTAAATTATTTTACTGTAGTCAATATTGTTATAGTTTAATTATGTTTTTGTTCTATTGTCTATAACTAAACTCGCTTTTATTTCTAGTAAAATAAAATGAATCTCAAGCTTTACGGCTTTTACGGTCCCAAGTGTTGTAATTCTTTATTTATACTATAGTTTGGTTAGGGGTCGTAGTTACTGAAACTATAAGGTGTAAATTATGATTATATTCTTTAATTTAGGATATATTTCACTCAAGTCATTATCATATTTTGAATTATTTTGTTGTGTACAATATTTATAATTTTATATCTATAATTTAGTTGTCTGTGTATAGGGAATGCGAGGAAAATTAGAGTGACGGAGATCGACGTGCGTTAGGTGTATAAATTTAATCTAAGTAGCTATATTCTTAGGCAGGAGTGCTGAGACTTAGGTGGTTAGTATCGGATATCACCTACAGTGACTTTCTAAGTATTTAACATTGCTTTCGCGAACTCGGCACTCGATATAGTTGTCCCAAGAACTAATGTAATGCCTTTAGGACGTGTATCATCTTTTTCTTTTTGAGCTTTTGTCATTCATCAACTACCGCATATGGAAAACCCCTTCTCTGGGAACTACACTCTTGATGTGTGCATTTTTTAACTTCGGCCATGTTTATTCTTAGTCTTCATTCAAATCTTAAAAGAAAAACAATTTTATTTATCTGATACGCTTTTCCAAATCTTGTGAAAAATGTAAACTAAAGTGGTTTACTACAACAAGTTTTTACTGATAAACAAGTTGTCATCCAGACTAATTAATTGTGAAAAATGTTAAAGTTCTAGCAATTTTGATGATATATTGTAATGCTGATGGATATTCACAGCATTAACTCCGTTACATGTGCCTCGAAATACCATAATGTATGCATTGCTAACTATGTTTTACTAACGAATTACATAATAATATACAATGTTTAAAATTAAATAATATTCGTATAGACTCGATTTGAAATATTCCTAATCGAACGCACATTTTGTGATAGGTCATTTTTCACGTTATTTGCCAAATTATACATTAGGTAAATGCATAGCTATATACGTTGTTATTATACTTATACATCAAGGCAGGAACGTTATTTGGCAGGCGACAGTGCACGCGCAATTTTTGGAGGGTCAAGGTTCGAGACAAAATGGTAGTTTTACCAACGTTAGCATATTATAGGCTGAGCTAGTTAGATAAATTATAAAACGACCTCACTATGCAATAAGTCATGCATTATTATGCCCATTTATAGAGGGTAAGTTAAGGCCTAAGAACTACGCAACCATCTCGATTAATTAAATGCACTAACGCACAATTAAAGTAATTATAAATAAAGCCACTATAGTTTTAAGTACTTAAATAAACGTATACTTTACCGGGGTTGAGTATAATTAGTATAAGGTATGTTGTTCTTTATTGTTACGATTTATAATATATTAAATTATCAGTTTACGTCCTAACTTTCACTTTGTTTTAATTTTAAGTAGTAATAAATTTAATGAAAACATTTCACTGTTAAATGTTACATGTTGTTTTAGTGATATGCCAGGTAATTCATTTTAATTGTAAATTGTAATGGTAACAACAATGCAAGTTATGTATTTTAAATACATATTTTGTAAAATATGTTTTTGAGAATTTGGAAGGAAACTGGATTGGTATGAATCTTTGATGACTCCTAGATGGCACTAAAATATTTTACATACTGAAAGACTGTTTCATAACAAGTACAGTACATTTGGACTTGTCCTAGAAAGCAACTACAATAATTATGTTGTTTACAAAATGAAAGTGTCTGATTATTTATCATAAATGTAGAGCAGATCAGATCAAGATAATGTCAACCTTCAGCACATATATTTAACTTTGTAGCTGATGATCTTCACAAGGTTTCACAGATTCTAGGATTACTTGTAATGAATGCCAATGTATAAAGTTTAATACCACACACGTTCATTGGCAAATTCTATTTTCATTTACCATTGTATATGATACATAATATGATCATAACCATCCAAATGATATATCTTTTGGCCGAGATTGTGGGATGGCAGTGCATTTAAATGCCAAATGTGTGTCGTTCATTTAAAAAATTATTCAGTTACCAATGTGAATTAGTAATTAGTTACCAAATGTTCTGGATCATCCCTAAATTGTATGATGAACTAAACTTGTTTCCACATGTGATGAATGTTTGTAAGTAAAGGAGAATAATGATAACAATGTATGCTTGCTGCGTAAGATCATTAGTTGATGTATTAATAAAATAATTTATTTACCCATATTTGTGGATATCATAATTTATGTTATATATGATATTGTGTTGCCTTTTTAAGCATTCTTTTAATTAATTTACCAAAAGGAACACATTACTGTAATTCATGTATTATTAAAAATAAGCAACTATAGATGTATTTGAGGCTGGGTATCCGAATACATTATAATGAATTTTGCATTTATATCTACATACATATTTCAATGTCAGTTTACTGGAATCTTAAAAGTTGTGCTACTACATATTGGTTGTAATAAATGTACAATTTATAAACGTTTGTGTTTCACTTTTCAAATCCCATACCCTTATGTCAGTGGTTTAAAATAATAAAACTTTGTTTCGAGATATTTTTATTGGTTGTACAAATGTGTACACTTTCTATAAATACATGTTTTATAAATCTAGAGTCTATTTATTATACCAAGTATAGGCTCCTACAGAAACTCTTAATGCCTTAGTTTTAGCAACAGTTGACAAAATATAATGTCAAAAATATAAAGATTTTCATTACTCTTGGTAAATTCATATTAAGAAAGACTTAAAATAGTGGCATTGTGGCCTAACAATTACTGGTATTACCCGACCAGAAGAGGAAGAAATGAAGTACCACTACAGCAAATACTAAATCTAAACTACGGTACAGTACGAAACTGGATACACATAGGAATATAAGATATACAAGATATTAAAATAGACAGAAATCTTAAATACCACAAGATTATAATAAATTATATCAATACTCCTTGCTATGGAGACTTATCATTGATATGGAAGGACATTGGCACAAGGCTTTTTATGAGATATAAAAAGTTACTAACACTACAACTTAATTATAATAAAACTACAGAATTATAAAAAGCTGCACAAGCTAATACAGATTATATTTTGTAAGATCAAAGACAATAATTTGTTAAACACATTTATCCAATTTAAAAAATTAAATCATTAAATTCATTGAAAATCACAACTTGGGAATTTACTTCAGAGTATTATTTAAAACGTGTATTGTTACAACAGCCTTTTTTCTAGATACACTATCAATAGTAAGTTAGTTAAAAACAATGTAGAGTGATTCAAAATGCAGTCTTTGTGCTACTATGAGTACTATGTAATAGAGAAGGCTTTTTTCATATTACTAGTAGTATCACTCTCTTTAGTACCTAAATAATATTATTACAATTATTGTATATTAATTGTAGAAAAATATATTTCTTATCACATACTTGGAACATAGTGGAATGCAATATTTTGCACAATACGAAAATAATTGATAATAATGGCATGTTGAGTCTATGATGGTCTCAGACATAATATAAATTGATACCTCAAATTTTATCATAATAGTATAGAGTTAAATACATTGTAAAGCCAAAAATCTTATGTTCTAAATAAAGCAATTTAGACATGAGCATTTAATACTTTTTGTTGCAAAAATATTTGTATAATTCCTACTCGAAATATAAAGTTTATCAATGCTTCACCACATTGTAGGTGAGCAAAAATTTAAGTGTATGGCTATGAGTAGTTCATTTATAATTATAAGATCATGGAATATGCATAATGTTCTATAACTATATGAGCATATTTAGACATGATATGCATAGATGTACCTTACATGAGGACACAATCACAACACTGGATTGTGTAGTACAGGCACTTGATGCCGCAGTCTTCTTCCTCGACTGTAGATGCAGTTGAACGGGCCTTGTGCGGTGGGGGTGGTCGAAGATACACACTATCTACCTTGTCTACAAACTTCTCAGTATCATTGTCAATCTTTTCTGATTTATTTGTCAGCTTGTCATCATCAAGGTAATCTTCGCTCTTCTCACTCTTAGGTTCTTTAATGTTTGTATCTCCTGCAGCTTCCTGCAATTAAATTATTTTAGTGTTGTTATGGACACAATTGCTACAAAGTAATGAGCTTGGAATATTGTTGAATGTTGTTATTGTTTTAATAATTATAAACTTGGTAAAGAACAACAGAGTGATGAATAAACAAAGGATGTATTATGTCATATTTACACTTACTTTGCTTTCATCTTTCTTGTCATGTCTAATAAATTCTTGTTTTTCCTCAGGCTTTCCAGTAACAGTACTGTCTGATGGCACTTCCGTAGCAGCTAATGCTGAACCAGCAGTAGCTATGCTTGTAATTGGTGCTTTTGTCCGCTCCGGCATCAACAAATCAGTCTCCTCTTCTTTTTTCTTGTGCAGTTGGTAATCAGGTGAATCTCCAGACATGCTGAAAAGAAGAATTTTTGCAATTAACTTTGGCAAACAACAAAACTCAATAAACGAGCTATAGTATTAACGCGACTGAATGACTAAGGTACACGAGAGCCGGGAGATTAAATTACAATTCGCGACAAACCGCTCACATTGTTACACAATTGTGTATAGCATCATTATTAGTAATGTAAACAACACTCGATAAATGGTGACTGCAGTTACTGTACTCGACATCCATTTACTGGGTTTACCTTACTACAGCAGTTTCTATTTGTTCCCCAGACAAACGACGCCATGTGCTAATGATAGTTTCAAAATTGTTGTTTTCTTGCATCTCGGCGTGTCATAAACATAAGCCAACAAAAAAGTTTTACTTTTGTTCACAAACAATCACAAAATATTCGACAATTAAATTGATTTTTAAAGTCTATAAGTATCCAGTTACAGAATAATTTTTTTATCTCGAATTTTGTTGTAAATACTAAGGATTTTGATTATTTCTTTCAGAAATAAATTGAAAAGTTTCAAAAAGTAGTATCGTATCAAGCCTTGACCTTTATGATGTCATGTCAATCCTTCACTCACACACACTTCAATATTGTTAGTCTGTTTACAATAGTGGCTTACTATTACTAATAACCTGAACTAAAAAATCGACTAAATCATTATTTTACCGACTATTAAAATAATACAGAAGATAATATTATCTATTGGATGTGTAGAAGCAGATCACGGCAAACCTTTATAATTTTTTATTGACATGCTTTTAATGTTAGCTGATGGTACAATAAAAAACTGTGATATTAAAATATTTAATTGAAAATGTTTCTGGACTGTATTTTTTACCGAAATATACTCATTTCATTTGTGTATTATGAAGAATTTAAACAAGATATTTTTTATTAAAATTAGAATTATTCACTTCCAGTATTTAAAAATCGACTAAGTAAAATTAATGCATAGACTAACTAATGTGTGGTAACCCTGACGAAAGGCGGGAAATTCAAATAAACTTTTGATTTGACTTGACAATAACTTCTAAATTATTTTATGAACTATTTCAAGTTTTTATACTTGAGTCATTAAGTGAAACCATGAGTGAAACAAAACGTAAATAAAAATAACTGGCACAATAATTAACCGGGTGGCTCCACGGACCACGGTAATCACATACCTACTTATAAAATATGCTTAATAGAGTAAGTAAGGTGAGTAGATGTAATATTAAGTACTGAGGTTTCTTAGTAGATACTTACATTCTGTACATTGTTGGCGATCTTTCATAATTCTTTTTAGGGTATGAATCGTTGACACCACTGTAAACAACATCTTTCTTTTTGTTATGTTTTTTGGTAGGGATCCATATTATACCGAAGCCAGCTTTGCTAGTATTGCTCTTAGGTGTACTAAGTGATGATACGCCATAGTTTTTGGATGAACTGGCTCCGAAGAAAGATGATGTTTTTCCACTGGAACTTGATCCCAGTCCACTGGGTAGTTTTGATGTCGAACTGGAAGATTTTCCGCTGGAAATCTTGCTACTAGATGTCTTGCCGAATCCACTGGAACTACTTTTCCCTAGACCTCCGGTTCCACTTTTACCAAAAGATCCGGCCCCGCTTTTGCTAGCAGAGCCGGACCCAAGTTTCTTACTAATGGGTGCCAGGTTGATGACCTGAAAAAACATTAATTATGTAATAACATAAATATAATATTAGGTAATGACACGTTATAACTTAAAATTTAGATTCCTTAATATGTATTTATTTTAACGTAGTGTTTACACCTCCGCTACTCGCCTCTAGATGTCGCAAATAGTCAGTGTCGCATGGTGCTGTCGCTGAATAAAGTTCTTGAATACCTACTGAAATAAGGTGACTTGTATGTATTTTTATTACAGAAGTAGGCAAATATAAAATATGAGTCATTACAAATAAGAATAAAATCTGTTTTTAAGTGACTTAATTATCAACATTAAGTTAGTAACAAATTATTGTCTGCTAATAGCTATGTAGGTACCCGGCTAATATGACGCCATAATTGTTGCTTTTGTGAGTTCTAAAATCACTGGACCGATGTTTTTGAAATCATACTCTATTGTGTTGAAATGTATTCACTTGTACTTGCAGAAAACATTTGTTACATTACACTTAAATAGATCATCTTTGAAATGTTTGGGACTGGTCAGTTAACAGGCAGTAATTTTTAGGCAAAAGAATTGTACATGTCATTCATCGTGTTCCAAGTAGGTAGGCCTAATTTTAGTGGTAAGTATTATACAATCGCTCGTTGCTAGACACCAGGCAACATTCCGGACTCCTGATGAAGGATAAATACTAAATGACTCTTACTTAATTATCTGGTAAGTACTTAGGTCTATGTTAACGTGAATTTAAACATGCTTGCTGCTGCATGCTGCAACTGCAGTTGACTATTGCTTAGAACTTAACTACGCATTATCGCGTTGCATGACTTTTATTTAACTGCTATCTAGGTTGTAGGTAGGTAGGATATTTTCACAACTATAGGAAACATGACTGGCGAAAAGTTGGTTTCCTTTCATATTTGTATTGTGTACTTTACTTCCGATCACCTAGCCGATGGTGTGACCAAGTTACTAACTCCACTGGACTCTCTGTTACGAAAGCCCTGAGAGAAGCCGAAAACAGGACAAGATGGAGGGACATAACACAAAGAGCAATGAAAGCCTTTCAGGGGCACGACCTTCAAAAATGAAGCGAGAGATCGAGAAGACCTTCACTTGTCACGTCTGGCGTTGAAAGCGTGGTATAATTATTAAAACAGTCAAACAGAAGTGTAACAAACGTAGATATATACATATCCATCTAGATAAACCTTTATTAGCATATTCACTTACCACAAACATGCGTTTGTGCATTAACTAGATAAGCGAAGGGTTTGAACAAATGTTACAACTTCTCTGGCCATGCCCTACTTGCGATTGAAAAGGTATCTTGTTGATAACTTTGTTTAACTATATTGTTCCTTGTGTGACTTGCGAAATGTGTTTAAGAGATAAATTAAACTGTTGATAAGCCTCATCATCAGGTAAAAAAGATGGAAATTATGAACACGTGGATGATGCTTTGTAGCTGGATGCTTTCTTCGTGAGTTAGCATTGACTGTCCAAGTAGGCTTAAAGGAGGAACTTCATATTACTTTACAAGTACCTTTCGGAACTTCTGCATTTATGAAATTAATTTGTTTTATCGTATTTATACGTAATTATTGTAGTGTCTTTAAAATTATAGGAGTTTAGTAATTACGCGTCAAAGAGGACCCATGTTATTTAAAGAAATAATGGTCACAAAACGAATTTATTGTCTACGCCTAATATTTGTACAAGTGTGAAGACATGTAAGGATGCAAAATGAATTGGTTTTGATGAACGCAATTTAAAACAATTACGATTGATTTAACTATGATGCATAACTACGGTACGATCCGTTAAAGTACGGATCACCAGTTGCTGTCACATACATTATTGTTTATTTACGGACTATGCTTGGAGGTTTTGATAAACTGACTATTTAACGGGTATTTCTTAACGACAGACTTTTCAAAAGGATTGGGGATTTTACTAGAAAGCCCTTGTGGGTTTTTTTTTAGGGGGGAAAATCATCGAATGACTGCTCCCGCCTGGGTGAGGCGGGAGGGAGTGTCAGACTCTTACTGGCTAAAAACCACCCCGTTCCTTCTCCTGCACGTCGAGCCGGAGCCCCGGTTACCCGTTAGGTTCTCCGTTGACTGTATAGCTTCGAGGTAAACAAGCAAGAACTGAACCTAATGGATTAAAACAGTTGATTTTTAGCCCGGTGTTCTATAAATGCAATATATGCTAAAGCCTAAAGGTGAAGGATATCCGCTAAAGTTATTCAACTAACTCGTTTGTGGTATTTGCAAGAGTGTCATGGTTCCGTATCGAGAAAAATATCTTTTTGATTATAAAATCATTACATTTCCATTATATGGAATTAGGATGTATGGTCTTCTTAATTATTGCCTTGTGGCTACACGATACTCATAACATTTGATATCATAGTGGATGTAATACGGAATACGTCGCTCATCTTTGGAAATAAAAGGTACCTACAATGGCAATGTTATACAGAAGTTCGTATGTAAACATACGTATCAGTCGACCTTATCGTTCGCTTAAAAAAATTACGTGAAAAAGTGCTGCCTTGTAGCCTCTTTGCAGAAATAAATTCTCTTGTTTCACTTGTTTCATTGCGCATTGACCCGCACAAAGTTTAGTCATCATCGAGCTTGCAGAACTCAGAAATGATGACTCAAATGGCATTATGCATTCCTTATTTAGAAACCGAGCCTCAAGCCTGTTGCATCCGTCGTATTAGGCAGATGTCTACCTGTATTATTATTCTTCTTGTTATGAATATTTTAAACTTGAGTAGGTACATATTGTTTTACTAATGGTGGGCCTAAGTCCATATGACAGGGGCATGTTATATTCTATTCACAAAAAATATCAACTAATAAATACTTAAGCCTCACGCTATAAATTACCTATGATGTTATTTTTAGAAACATAATATAGAGGTTATGACTTTGGAATCGGTTGTAAATTCCTATTTTACCAGCTGTGTGTTACCACCTATGATAATACGGCGTGATACCCTGACGGTCATCATCTCAAGTGATTTATCCTTGAGTGTTTATTTTGTATCAGAGTCAATCTGTGCCACGTAATGTGCTAACATACCAGTTGCTACTATAAGTATTGTAACCAATATTTGTCTTTGTTTTAAAGTACTTAGAGTATGAGATCAATGGGTCATATCATCACATCTTTTATTCTACGAAGAGATAAACCACTGATTATCTCTACGTCACTACGTATGCTTACGTACTTTTTCAATCCTGCTTATAAGTGCAATGACGAAACAGAATTTAACTATAATTATAATCAATTATGTCTTTGATTTCCGACAGAATGAGAAAACTGTCACTTTCGGATAAATTCTTTGCTTCCAAGGCTTTCAACAAGTTAATACTTTTAATGTAATATTTTTAAAAGATCGAGACCGCATGATATGGTCATAAAGTATAACATTTACAAGTTTACTTACGAAACGTTTTAGCAACTGAGATGTTTATAACTACATCGTCGTACATATCTGCCTATGCACGTCAGTTTACATAGTAATCATATGCATTTTTCATATTACATATCGTGACTGGTTAACTAGTACCTATGTAAGAAATTACCATTAAGGTAAGGTAAAACGAAACATAGAGAGGAAAAATAATAAAAATAGAAGCTCTTTGGAAGAAAAAATGAAGGGCAAAGAA